TATATATATATATATATATATATATATTTATAAATATATATATATATATATATATATATATATATATATATATATATATATATATATATATATATATATATATATATATCGTTTTATGAAGTGTTGTATTAAAGTAATACACAACTCTTGTTCGTTGAAAAGTGCTCAATATTTAAGAAGTTTATTTTGATTATTTATAAATTTCATAACAGAGCAGTTTATAATTAAAAACGAATAAAGAAAAAACTTTTATTATGGAACTTTAAGTTTTATGCCTAACGACAATCATCAGCCATATATTACAAAACTTAAAATAGACGTTAAAATTACAATTAAAATTACGGTGGCGTGAGTTTTAATGACGCCATGGAAACAAAACTTTAAGTTTTAAGAATATCACGTGCCGTAAAAGTGACGTAAACCAATCAAGATCAATCTGCGGTATCATAGGAGGAAATAAGAAATTTATTTTTGTGCCTACACTTCGAGATTATTTCACTCCTTGTGTTAAGTAGGTTTTTACCTAAATACATTCGAATTTGAAACTTCTCGTTCAAACAGAGGTTGCACACTCTTGATGTTGGGTTGTATGGTTTGCAATGTTTAACAATTTTCCGTCTGACAAAAGGTGTAAAGTTTTTTTCTTTTAATTTCCATATTTCTTCAGATAACTCTGTATCATTTTTATATCTAATTGAATTAAAAGATTTGAGGTGGTTTGCGTATCGAACTTTAAAAGATGTCTCGCTGAGTCCAAAATACACTTTTTCTTTGTACTCCGGATTGTTTGAACAAACGGTGGCTTGATAAACAATGTTGTTAGAAAGACAATTGTTGTTCATCGGACATTTGGATTTAACAATGCAGTTGCATGTCTTTTCATTAACTTTTGCTTCCTCATGTAACGTGTTTTTATTGTGAGAGTTGATAATGGATTTTATGTTTGGCATACAGGAATAACTTATTTTGATTGTGTTTCTATTAAATATTTTACGGAGTCTGTGGTTAACTGAAAAGTGGTGGTCGATGAGGTTTAAAAAACATTTACCTATTTTTGTTACAACATTTGTACTGAAAGGAGGGTTATACCAAATTATTTTACGTTTATGGTTGTTGTTTGAAGATTTTATACTTAAATGGTATGCAAGTTCGCAAGTGTGTCCAGATTTTTTCAGGGCTTCTTGATAAGGAGGAATACTTTCTTTGAAAATCAATTCCCTTGACGATGCTGCTGATAATCTTAACTCAATGGTTTTAGGAACACTTTTTATTATACTCGGTGGGTGGTTAGAACTTGTATGTATGTAATTAAGTATATTATCTGCTTTGCGGTAGGGTTTAAATGAACCATCTTTAAGGTTTAGCGTTAAATCCAAATAATTAACTATTTTCAAATTACTTTTAATGGGTATTAAAAAATTGTTATTTTTAAAGATTTGTACAAAATGTTTTTTTATCTTTTCCATTTCTTGACCACTTTTGTTTCTAAATACAGCTAATCCGTCATCTCGATATATACCGAAATTATTTTTATCATAAAACTGAAAGATTTGATGTAAAATAAAAATACCAACTAATTCGCAAATCTCCGCGCCATCAAAGGCCCTCATAGTGGGCTTTTTTTTATTAACAAGCAGACGGATGAAAAGAATTCTGAAGATTACGTAAACTACGGTATTAACTCTTCTAAATGTTCTCCGCAAATTAAAGAAATGTGTTCTTTCGAAAATAATTTAATAAATCTTGTTAAAACCATCAAATTTCGAAAAATCAACAATGTTTTTCAAAAAAAATTAGCAAACAATATAAAATCTATACGAACCTCAAAAAAAACTTTAACTCTAGCCGACAAAACATCAAACATGTACAAATTATCTAAATATCAGTACAACCATCTCCTTGATAATGCAATTACTTCTACGTATAAAAAGGCTGACCCTAAACTCAAAGATCAAATAAACATACAAGGTAAACAAATTTTAATTAACCATGATGTATACAATAAAATTAGAATTAACGGTACTGAAAATTGTTTCATAACTCTAAAAGACCACAAAGAAAACTTCCTAGATAAACCAACTGTTAGACTTATTAATCCAGCAAAAAATGAGATTGGAAGAATTTCAAAATCTATTTTATCCAACATTAATTCCGAGCTGAGGAATAAACAATTTTTGAACCAATGGCAAAACACTCAAAATGTTATACACTGGTTTCAAACCATAAAAGAAAAACAATTCTGTAAGTTTTTAGCCTTTGATATTAATGATTTTTATCCATCGATTAATAAAAAGCTGCTGAAAAATGCCTTATCCTTTGCAGAGCAACATCTAATAATAAATAGTGAGCAAAAGAGTTTTATATACCATGCAAGAAAATCGTTATTATTTAGCAATGGAACTGCTTGGATTGAGAAAAAGGGAGGATTATTTGATGTCACTATGGTGGCCTTTGATGGCGCGGAGATTTGCGAATTAGTTGGTATTTTTATTTTACATCAAATCTTTCAGTTTTATGATAAAAATAATTTCGGTATATATCGAGATGACGGATTAGCTGTATTTAGAAACAAAAGTGGTCAAGAAATGGAAAAGATAAAAAAACATTTTGTACAAATCTTTAAAAATAACAATTTTTTAATACCCATTAAAAGTAATTTGAAAATAGTTAATTATTTGGATTTAACGCTAAACCTTAAAGATGGTTCATTTAAACCCTACCGCAAAGCAGATAATATACTTAATTACATACATACAAGTTCTAACCACCCACCGAGTATAATAAAAAGTGTTCCTAAAACCATTGAGTTAAGATTATCAGCAGCATCGTCAAGGGAATTGATTTTCAAAGAAAGTATTCCTCCTTATCAAGAAGCCCTGAAAAAATCTGGACACACTTGCGAACTTGCATACCATTTAAGTATAAAATCTTCAAACAACAACCATAAACGTAAAATAATTTGGTATAACCCTCCTTTCAGTACAAATGTTGTAACAAAAATAGGTAAATGTTTTTTAAACCTCATCGACCACCACTTTTCAGTTAACCACAGACTCCGTAAAATATTTAATAGAAACACAATCAAAATAAGTTATTCCTGTATGCCAAACATAAAATCCATTATCAACTCTCACAATAAAAACACGTTACATGAGGAAGCAAAAGTTAATGAAAAGACATGCAACTGCATTGTTAAATCCAAATGTCCGATGAACAACAATTGTCTTTCTAACAACATTGTTTATCAAGCCACCGTTTGTTCAAACAATCCGGAGTACAAAGAAAAAGTGTATTTTGGACTCAGCGAGACATCTTTTAAAGTTCGATACGCAAACCACCTCAAATCTTTTAATTCAATTAGATATAAAAATGATACAGAGTTATCTGAAGAAATATGGAAATTAAAAGAAAAAAACTTTACACCTTTTGTCAGACGGAAAATTGTTAAACATTGCAAACCATACAACCCAACATCAAGAGTGTGCAACCTCTGTTTGAACGAGAAGTTTCAAATTCGAATGTATTTAGGTAAAAACCTACTTAACACAAGGAGTAAAATAATCTTGAAGTGTAGGCACAAAAATAAATTTCTTATTTCCTCCAATGATACCGCAGATTGATCTTGATTGGTTTACGTCACTTTTACGGCACGTGATATTCTTAAAACTTAAAGTTTTGTTTCCATGGAGTCATTAAAACTCACGCCACCGTAATTTTAATTGTAATTTTAACGTCTATTTTAAGTTTTGTAATATATGGCTGATGATTGTCGTTAGGCATAAAACTTAAAGTTCCATAATAAAAGTTTTTTCTTTTTTCGTTTTTAATTATATATATATATTTTTATATATATATATATATATATATATATTTAAATATATATAAATATATATATATATATATATATATATATATATATATATATATATATATATATATATATATATATATATATATATATATATATATATATATATATATATATATATATATATATATATATAAATATTCCAAATCGTTGCTCAGTTAAATACAGTGATAATTCTTTCACAAACCAATGCATAAAATCATGGAATATATCATTATTATTACTGTTAATATTGTTATTATAATTGTCCTCGTTACATTTACTTTAATTTTATTATATAATTGTTATTATTATTTAATTGGTGTTTATCGTTGATTAGTACTCATACTATTAGTAAATTACCATGAAATGTAAAAACATTTGTTTCAGAATATATTGTTATTGTTATATCTATTTATATATATATATACATATATATATATATATATATATATATATATATATATATATATATATATATATATATATATATATATATATATATATATATATATTTATATATATATATATATATATATATATATATATATATTTATATATATATATATATATACATATATATATATATATATATATATATATATATATATATATATATATATATATATATATATATATATATATATATATATATATATATATATATATATATATATATATATATATATATATATATATATATATATATATATATATATATATAGAAACAATTTTAAAATGTATTTTTAAAAATAGAGTGCTCAATATCTTAAAATCTTAAAAGAACAGAGCAATAATAAATTAGTTTAAACAAGTTTATATATTTATATATATACATATATACATATATATATATATATATATATATATATATATATATATATATATATATATATATATATATATATATATTTATATATATATATATATATATATATATACATATATGTGTGTATATATATATATATATATATATATATATATATATATATATATATATATATATATATATATATATATATATATATATATATATATATATATGTATATTTATATACATATATTATGTATGTATATTATATACATTATTAAATAATGATAATAATAATTGTATTATTCTTATTGTTATTATTATTAGTATTATTGTTGTTGTTATTATTTTTGTTATTCACATATTTTCAATTATTATTATTGTTTTTTGTCTTTTTTGGTTGTTAGGTTTGGTTTTAACTGTTTGTAACTGTCCTTTAAATATTGTCCAGTGAAATAATGAATTGTAAATTTAACAAATTAGTTGTCTATCTTAACATTTTTTAATTAGAGATTGATTTTAAGACACCTTTGTCATATATATAGGTAATATGTTGTTTTGTATATTGGAAAAGTATATTAATCAGTGGAGAAAAATAATAGCAGAGGTTAACGATTTCATAAGAGAGACAAGCAGTTCTAATAGTTGTTGTAGTCAGGAAGATAACTGTTTTTATCTGATACTTGTCTTGAAAAAGGGGACAATGAAGATTCTGTATCTATCACATCATCCAGAAGTGATTCACTCAGATTGTATTCTAGTTCTTCAGAATCAATTTCTGACATTGAAGAAGAAATTAGTAGTCTACCTACTTTGAATGAACAGCTTTCATCATGGGCTACTAGAAACAAATGTAGGCAAGACTGTGTTAATGAGATTTTGAATATTTTAAAACAAAATGGTCACTCTACCCTTCCCAAAGATTATCGCACTCTTCTTTAAACTCCAAAATCTACATCATGGGTTGAGAAATGCGGTGGTACATATGCTTACTTTGGGATTGAAAGTGGAACTATGAAAACAATTTTTAACAATATTTTATTTTTAAACCAAAATAAAGACATTGATTTAATAATTAATATTGATGATCTTTCCCTTTTTAAGTCTTCAAATTTACAGATGTGGCCTATTTTAGCTAAATTTGATAAGTATGATGTATTTATTGTGGCACTTTGTTGTGGAAGCTCAAAGCCGACATCTTTAAATGACTATTTGCATGATTTTAAAATGGAAGTTATTAATCTTTTACAAAATGGATTTAATTTTAACGATAAAAAAATAAAAGCATTTCTTAAGTCAATTGTAAATCATTCGGCATACTATTCATACGAAAGATGCGTGATAAAAGGATCTTGGAGTGGGAGAACTGTTTTTAATTCTAATGCTATACACAAGATTCGTGCAAATCTGAAATTTTTTGCCATTGGTTATCCGGATCATCAGAAAGCCTCAACACTTTTGATAGATTGTGGCGTAAACTGTGCAACAGATTTTTTTCTTGACTACATGCATTTGATATGCTTGGGGGTTGTGAAGCGCGTAATAAAGTTTTTTAAAAGTGGTCCTTGACATAGTAAATTATAATTTGGGGAAATATCGCAGATATCTAAAAAACTGAGCTACGTGGGCATCTACCAAAAGAGTTTGCTCGCCAACCTAGGAATTGTTAGAAATGGATAGATGGAAAGCTACAGAAAACAGACAATTTCTTCTCTATACTGGTCCTTTAATTTTAAAAGATATTATATCACCATCCATTTATAAGCATTTTCTTTCTCTCAGCATTGGAATAAGTAAAATGTTGGATTCAAATAACGAAAGAAGATCAAAGCATCTTGATTACAGTAAGAAGTTGTCAAATTATTTTGTTAGTAATGCTTCTTTAATATATGGAGATACATTTGTTGTTTACAATGTTCATGGGCGCATTTATTTGAATAAAGATGTTAGCAACTTCAATTGTTCTCTCAATGATGTGTTATGTTTTAAATTTTAAAACTACATGGAAAAACTCGAAGGTTATGTTAGAAAAGCTAGCAATCCTGTTGTGCAAGTGACAAATAGACTAGCAGAATTTGATAAAATAAAAGATAAATGCTATTTTAAACAGAGGTTCTTCACTACAATCTCAACTAGATCAAAGGATAATTGTTTTCTGTTGACAAACAAAAACGTTGCTTTTATTAGAGAAATAAAAAATTGTGGAAAATATGTATGTGATGTGGTAAAAATTTGTGATATAGATTATATATTTACCTCACCAGCAGAATAAAAAATATTTCAGATTGGTGTTGCTCATAGTTTTACTAGAACAATAAGAAGAATTGTGGAAAGACATGAACTTTAAAGAAAAGTTGTGTCACTTCCATACAAAAGAGGTTATGGTCTATTCCCAATGCTTCATGATGCTGAATAGTAATAGCGCAATGGTTTATCTTTGGTACATAGCTCAAACTAATAAATAATTTATCAACAGTTTATAGTTTAAAATGTTCAAATTCTTTTTTCTTTTTTTTTTGATTCTATGTAAAATTTATAATTTTTTTCTGGAACTGCAAAAAATGGATGCGTGCAGTTTGGTTAGAGGGAAGCACCGAGAAAGAGGGAGTCATACCGAGCGCTTGGGTAGTTGAAAACCTTTTATTAGAGAGACCAACCAACAAATGATTGGCTAAAATTTAAGTTGTTGAAAATCAAATTTTCATCAGGTAGACTTGCTTATTTATTTATTTTTTGGGTAAATAATTCATCTTTCCATTTTAGAGTTAATTAATTTAAATTACTTAATTTATAAAGAAAAGACTTATGAATATAAGTATTTTGTTTGAAATTGAGATTCGAATAGAGTGGAAGAAAATTGTTGTTGTGTTTAAAAATCTGTATAGGTGATAAAAATCTTTGTGAAGAATATGAGTTTACTACTGAAATAACTGATAATGTTCAAGAATTTTCCAGACATCAAATTAAATAATGGATTCATATATTTCAAAAAGCATTTTACATATCTACTTATAAATCATATTTTACATTATTTTATTGTAGAAAAAAGATCTGTTGTAAAAACTCCTTCCCCGCCACCTTTGAAAAAAAATCGGTCACATAAAAAAAGGATAATTATACAAAATAAAAATAACAAGAGAGACTTATGTTCACCAACATCTTCACCTGATATGATTTTGTCCAGTAGAGATAATACTCTGTGTCAGAAAAGTTAACTTAATTCTAATTAAATATTTTATATTTGTCATTTATCGATTCTTATAACTGATTATATATTATATATTTATTTTATCATTAGGGTTCCAAAAATCAACACACTCAAAGAATATATCAGGTACTTCTGGTTTGCAAAGTAAAAAGAGGTATTCTAGGTCACCACCAAATTGCAGTGAATCATTTTCTTCTTCAGCTGATCTGGCAATGTCAAGTGTAGGTGGCAGAAAGGAGTATCCAATGTCAGAAAAAGGTAAGTTAACTCTTTATTTTGTATTTTTTTTTACATCTTTTTCTTATTGATTTGTAAATAGATATAAAATAATTTTTTTCATTGTGTTCAGGGTTCCAGAAAAAAGTTGTCTTCTTTTTGAAAGAAATGACCAAAAATCAGAAGCAAGTGCCAGATTAGAGTTAGATGTAGAATTGATTCAGCGCCAAAATATGGCAGAGTTTCAAGCTTTAGAGGAAGAATTATTAGACATTGAGTTTAAACAAAAATTTTTTAGTAATTGTTTTATTTACAACAAAGTTTTCCATATGGTGGAATCTTCAACACAAAATTCACCAAGTTTAATAATAAGTATATGTATATATATGTATATATATGTATATGTATATATATGTATATATATGTATATATATATGTATATGTATATATATATGTATATATATGTATATGTATATATATGTATATGTATATATGATATATATGACAGTATATATAATATATGCATATACATATATATATGCATATACATATATATACATATGTTATATGTATATATATGTATATGCATGTATATGTATATGCATATGTATGTATATATATGTATATGTATATATATATATATATATATATATATATATATATATATATATATATATATATATATATATATATATTTATATATATATGTGTGTATATATATGTATTTATATATATGTATGCATATATATTAGGTTAGAAGAATTGCTAAAGTTGGTGGTGTGAATGTAAAAGAAAACATTGCAAACGTTTTAAACATATTTTGTCACTGTCAAATGTATATTTTTTATAGTCTTAAATACTTTATGATAATTTTAATAAAAATAAAATATACAGTGCATATCTCAATACTTTAATTATTTAATTCCCTCAAAATGGTGTATGCATCTATCCCGCCCCCAAATTAAATTTTCTTAAACAGAATACCAAGCAAACTAAAATGTCTATCCGCAGTGCTCACAACTATTCTCAGCTGTCCGCTCCACTGTCCACAACTACAAAAAATATTAGCAAGTGAAGGACTTTTTTTATAAAAGGATTTGTTTCTTTCATTTAAAGACTTTCTAATTTTTCTGGGATCATCCCCAACATATTTTATAGCATGAAATAAATAAAATATGTATAGTTATATTGACATTTATTTATAGGCTGATGAATAATCATCTGATGAGTGATTTCAATATGAAGGGTAAGCATGGAAAGCAACCCTTTGGTGTTACTTGCCTTTATAAAATTATAAAAAGTAAGTTTTTATTTAATGTATATGTTTGTATATTGCATATATATTTTACACTGTATATAAAGTTGGACTAAGGATAAAACCATGAAAATAAACCACCTTAAAAACCACAAAAAGTGATAAAACCATAAAATAAACCGCTTTAAAAGTCAATAGTGCTGGTAAACAGAAAACTTAAGTCCGGCTTTCTTTTTTAGTTGTTAAATTGTTGAAAATAAAAATATGCTTTTTTTTCTAGCAAATGCTCTTAATTTAAACAATTGCAATCAGAAGGATGTCGACGATGCTATTTCAAAGTACCTTAAGCATGCGCCAAAGAGAAAAGATGGACGTAAATTCACCGAAAAAAATGTTTTATAACGATATTTTGAAATGTTTATGTAACGTATTTGTTTATAAATGTATTAAAATACAGTTATATTTTTAATCAGTATATATTTCTTTAAATTTATTTTATTTTTAGTATGGTTTGTTGTTAATATAACTCCAAAGTATAGTTTAAAATAGAGATATCATAACGACTTATAAGTCGTTGTTATACTTTTAGTTTAATAAAACTTTAATCGGGTTTTTTAATCCATACGGCGAATAATTTCAACGTTGTTTCTCTTATGACTTTTAACTAGAGTGCGACGTTTAACTGTAACCAAAATGCGACGTCAATGTTTAACATCCATAATGCGTAATATTTTTACGTTATTTTAAATTTAGATATTGCCATGTATTTGACGTCGAAACTGAACAGCATTTAGACGTCAAATCATATTCGATTTTCAACGTCAAAAATAGACGGTGTTTTGTTGTCAGATTTCTACGTCATTCCGTCTTTCAATTCAATACAAATATTCGACGTCAAAACAACGTTAATTTAACCTAATTTTGACGTTATATTTACGTCGAAATGTTTGCTGGGTTTAAAGTTTAAAGACATTAATAATATTATAACATATTTTATCTTACATTGTATTACAATGTAAGATAAAAGATTGTTGTAACACTGTTAACCTTTTTTTTTTAATAATTGACCGTTAATCTCTCAACTGTAATAAATAATATAAATTATTTGTATTATTTATTACAGTTAAATTTTAATTATTTTATTTATATTGTTTATTACAGTTGAATCGTATTTTATTTATTAAATAAAATACGTTCATATATAACTTATATATGTTAGTGAAATTATTTAACTTTTATGTATAATACATGTAACATAATAATAAAAAACATTTGTTATATTGTTTTAGCAACTCAAAGCAGTCCAATGGTGGCAGCCAACAATATTAGTTAGTTATTTTACACATTCCATACCCATTAGTTTCTTTTAAATTATAGGGACTACCAAGTCCCGAGACATGTTGTGTTCATATTAAAGAGAATGTTGAAAAAAAACGTCTGAGCAATTTTTTTTTTTGATTAAAACTAATTAATAAATGTATACCAAGAAAAACAAACCTTGTTGTTTTAGTCGAAGCTCGCCTTCTCCGTTTTCTCTGGTATTTTAAGTATGTAAAATAAACGCGATTTTCTAGGCGCATTATACAGACTTAATAATTTATTTAAGTGCGTTTAATTCAAAGGAGTTTTAGAGCATGATGCCATTGGAAACATTCTAGAAATTCTTTAAAAATTTTACGAGTAAATTTTACTCAAATAGCTAACTATAGTTACTTATTTTATTAAAAGTTTATTTTATTAATTGTTCGTTAGTTTTTTACAAATCTAACGAACAATTAATTAAACCAAGCACTAAGAAAAGATATAAAAATTAAGAATATACTAATAAAATATATAATTTGTAATTAACTTTCAAAATTTTGACAATTAAAAAAATATATATTATAAAACATTTATTTTTGTAAACAAATAATAATAGTTTAAAAGTTTTACGGCTTTACAGATGTGGCTCCAAGAATGAGTCATAATATTAAAGTAATAGTTCATTTGATAATATAATCTTGAAAAAATTTATGCTAATATCTCAAAACGAAACAAAACGCATAGATATCTAGAAACGCAACAAATCGTAAATAATACAACTCCTAAAACATTTCAACAAAATACTCTAAAACTTTATTTCGCTTAGTCAGCGTGTTTTTTGAACAAATAGAATTAGTTTGTTCGCAAATTTGGCGGTTTCTTAGTGTTCGCGAATATTCCTTTTGTTCTTCCGCAAGATGTTATAAGAACATTTAAGTTAGTTATGTTTCCATGTATGTTTGTAAAATAAAAATTAATATATATTAATTTTTTAATTTTTAAGCCCCCGCCATAATATAAGATTGGATGTTATAATGGAAATATAAATAATGAAATAAGATCACCTTAATATCAAAAAATACATTTTTGAAAATCAGAGAAAAAATGCGTTAATAATTTTTTTTTTAATATTCACAAAGTAAATTAATAAAAGTGCATTATTATTTAGGTTAAAAATTGTTTTATCTAATTTTTTTTAAAGAAAAACATAACAAAAGAAAACAAAATACGCGTGGTCTAGACGATTATTTAAAAAAAGTTGCGCAAATAAAATACTATTTTGTTTTTCATTTTATTTTTGTTTTTAGTTTAATTTTGTTTTTAATTTTGTTTTACAAACACATTTTAGAACTTTAAAATATAATAAGCCGGGTAAATAAAAACAAGCAATTGCTTTTACTCAGTAATTGGTCAGCTTTACGTGAATAAAAGCTAAAGGAATTTTCTCTAAGTTTTTATTTACTTAATGCCGAACAATTACTAAGTAAATTGCTTAACTTTACGTGAATAAAAATTTGATCAAAACTCTTAATGTTTTTATTCACGTAAAGCTGACCAATTACTGAGTAAAAGTAATTGCTTATTTTTATTTACCTGGCCTAATAAAAATGAACATGATTTGAAAATTGTATGTAAAAAAATAACAATCGGTGTTTTAAACAAACAAAAAAAAAATTGACGTCATGCTGTGAATTAAACGCGCTTGAAAAAATTATCAAGTCTGTATAATGCGCCTGGAAAATCGCGTTTATTTTACATACTCAAAATACCAGAGAAAACGGAGAAGACGAGCTTCGACTAAAACAACAATATTTGTTTTTCTTGGTATACATTTATTAATCAGTTTTAATCAAAAAAAATTTGCTCAGACGTTTTTTTTAACATTCTCTTTATTATGAACACAACATGTTTCGGGACTTGGTAGTCTCTTTAATATCAGTAAATATTGTCTAGACAAATGTTTGTATTATTTTGTTAAAAAAATTTTTTCAATTGTTTTTTAGATGATGCTTTTGAGAGGATAGGTCAGTTTCTTTGTTATGCTTTTATTATTTTAGTATTTAGTTATCTGCTTTTAGTATTCATTTAAAGATCTTTATTACAACTATCCACAAAATTTATGTATTCCTTGCTTTTATGTAATTCTTGCTTTCTTTTTATTGAGTCATTGTTGTTTTTTTCTATAGACAATTTAAAACAAGTAATGAGTAAGTAAAGTTTAAACTATTTTAGTTATTTAGTCATTTAAACTTATTTTTTGCAATGTTAGTGTTATACTTTAGTTTTATAATAAAGTTCGTAAATTTAAAAATAGCTTTTAGGTGAACTCAGACAGGCGATTTGTAAGTTTAGTAAATTTTAACAATTTCAATTGTATAGTTTAATGATACATGCTAACTAAGGATTATTACTTTATAAATAAACACTATAGGTGTTTACTTTGTTGCGACATAGTAAATAAAGATATTATAACCAAAAGTGAAATTAAGTTTATTTTAGTAGACTATTGTTATACTAACATTGTTTCTACGTACTCCTTTTTATTTCATTAATTGGTAAGAGAATAATGTGTATTTTTATGTGTATATATAGAAAAATATAGTTTGATTTTGCGTATTATGCCGTATTGTACTATTTATTATGTACTAGCAAAAAGCAACCCGTAATACGGGTTTTTGTCGGTCTGTTACATAATTAATTTATAGTGGCTGTTTTCCACAATTTCATGTTGCAAAACCTTAACTAATACCCTTTTAGAAAATCGCCTTCTGCTTGAAAAAATTAATCCATCTGTAAAATTAACATAAAAAGTATGAGGAGGTAAAATAATTTACCAACTACTACTTAACATTTACAATTACTACTTAACATTATTTGAGTAATTTACAAATGGCATAGGTCATAACAGTGTAAGGCAGAACTATTTTCATCGATCTTAATAAGTTTAACACAATACGTTTTTAGTTACTGACACAAAATAATAACACTTCGTCATGCTTTAAATTGACGAAAGTATCAACGAAATCCTTGTAATAATTTTTATAACACGAACCATTAAGATTAAAATAAAGTTAAAAATAAAAAATTATATTATACAGGAGTTATGAATTTTTTGATATCCCCTTGATTAAGTTTTCTTTAGAAAAGAAAATTGTTAACTTAAAAATGTTTAATGCACACATTTAAATAAATTTATTAAAAATAACAAAGTTTATTATAAATAACTAAGCAACTGAGTACAAATACGTTTCAAACAAAAAAAATTTAATTCACGATCAAACATGGGTATAATAAATTTGAAAAATATGTAAACTTAATGCATTAATGCATTATATGACAAACCTAAAATAAAAATTATAACAGATAAGTAGACATAAAAATTTGTAAACCAAGCTGCCCGACCCGGGTCTTGTTAAGTCTGTTCAACACAGACCATTTCTATATCATTTGTTTGGCCTCTTTATTTCATTAATTTTTAGTAAACGGTATTTTGCCACCATTTACTAAAAATTCCTTTTGTAACTCGAAATTTAATTTTCTTAAATATTTTGACTCTAATAAAGAGGTTCCTCCCCTCTGTTTTTAAAGTTTTTTAGTTACGACCCCCCATTTACAAAGATCCCCTTAAAATACGTACAACAAATTATTAGGCATAAAATAGATAAAACATAAAATTAACTAACATCATATATTTATATCTTTTTAAATAACAAAAATTCACAATAAAAAGAAATCAGGTTTTTTCTTTATAAATCTTATAAATGCGTCATAACGTAATTCTAAAAAAAAAAACTAATGAAATTATGATATCATAATTACAAAGAAGAAAAAAAACAAAAATCACTGCACAATTACCGAAAATCGATTTACCTATTTATAGTAACCTATTTTAAAATTGCAGTTAAAGATTTATCAAAAATGATACTATAAAATCTGTTTCGAAGTACAAAAGCATTAACAATACTAAAAAAAAATCAAACTAAGATATAAATTGTTGTCTTGGCTTTTAAAGTTTAAACATATATACAACTATAAACAAATATGTTTTTATAACACATATAAACACATTTTACAACTATTAAATGATAGATATATTTATTAAAAACTATGAAAAAAAATAAATAATGAAAAATAAAGTTATACATGCAAAATGTGCTCACAACCTTTAACAGCAAATTTTCGAAATGAAAATCTCAAGACTATAAATTAAGAACATTAAAAAATATAACAATATTTATGTTACATTTTTTGACCTACAATACCTTGAATAA